TCCAGTTCCATCCACGTCGTTGCAAATGGCAAGATCTCATTCCTTTTGATGGCTGCATAATATTCCATTGTGTATATATACCGCATCTTCTTCATCCATTCATCTGTAGATGGACATCTTGGTTCTTTCCACAGTTTGGCTACTGTGGACTGGAGGTATATTTTTAATTCATATTCTTACTATAACTACTAAGTATCAGTTTTTTATCAAAATTGATTATCCTGGGGCACCTGGGTGGCTCAGTTGGTTAAGCATCTGACTCTTGATTTTGGCTCAGGTCACGACCTCAGGGTCAAGAGAGTGAGCCCAGTACCAGAGCCAGCTTGGGATTTTCTCTCTCCCTCTGTCTCTCCCTCCAGGCCCACACCCCTGCTCGAGCTTTCTCTCTAAAAATTGATTATCCTCATGCCAGTTTCCTTAGTAAGAACACATATGCTTATACCTCTGACATAGTAACTGGCTAAGGCAATGATTCACTAACTGTATATTCCCTTCTATAAAAGGGGACAGATAATACTACAAATCTACATAATTATTTAATATTTCCTTCAGTACCCATTTCCAGAATAGATTCCTAAATTTTCCTATAATGAATCACCTTGGATCTGGGGAGTCTTAACCATAAAATTCCACAGTTGATAAATCCTGAATGTAAAGTTTCAGAGCTGACTAGGAAATCAGCACCTGTATTACACCTCCTAACACTCTTCCCCAACTCAAATCTCAGGAAAGAGAGGGGTAGCAGCAAATCAGATTATTAGACTAGTGATGGAGCCCAATCCATTGGTTCATCTTTCCATTATTTTTTCACAGTCTTGTCAGTAATGTGCCAGTTAACATCCCAGATTTTAAATATGTTACTTACTGGGCACCTGGGTGGCTCAGTTGGTTAAGCAACTGCCTTCGGCTCAGGTCATGATCCTGGAGTCCCGGGATCGAGTGCTGCATCGGGCTCCCTGCTCAGCAGGGAGTCTGCTTCTCCCTCTGACCCTCTTCCGTCTTGTGCTCTCTGTCTCTCATTCTCTCTCTCTCAAATAAATAAAATCTTTAAAAAATAAATAAATAAATGTTACTTACTGTGGTATGATGGGATATATTGCCAACAATGTTGAGGTTTTTGAGCAGTTGAGGAGAACCACTGTATTGTCCAGAGATCTGCTTCCTGACTTCAGCAGCCACAGTTCTATAACAAAGAAAGTAAATATATTATTTAAAAAGAAAACAACCACGTTTAAAATGGAAGAAAACTAAGTATATTAAATATTCATTTAAAAACCAACAAAATCTCAGAGTATCAACAGGGCCATAAATTTATAAGCTACTTCAGTAAATACTGCCTATAATTACAGTAGAACATCTTTATCCTGATGTAGGACACAAAAGTGACAGCCAACTTACAGAAGGCTTTTTTTGTATCTGGCATTTCAGGAAACACACTTTGGCTTTCAACACAGCAGGAAGCTATAATAAGACATATATACATATATATATTAAAATGTACATATCTTAAGGATATAAAATTCTAAAATATTTTATAAACAAAGAATTAGGAAGAAAAAAACTCCTCTTTCCTTTAAGATTTTATTTATTTATTTGACAGAGAGAGACAGCGAGAGAGGGAACACAAGCAGGGGGAGTGGGAGAGGGAGAAGCAGGCTTCCCGCTGAGCAGGGAGTCCGATGCGGGGCTCGATCCCAGGACCCTGAGATCACGACCTGAGCCGAAGGCAGACGCTTAACGACTGAGCCACCCAGGCGCCCCTCCTCTTTCCTTTCTAATATCACTAGCTCCTCATTCATGTCCCAGAAAACTATCCCTTATTTTTACTTAACTAATAGAAATCGTCCTTAATACTCTGGCATTAATGGCTTTCCATAATCTGACCCTAATCACCTTTCCTGCCTTGCGTGTCCTTTCCCAAATTCTTGTCAGTGAACATAAATTGCTTCCCACAAAGCTGTTTCTCTCCTATACTCACAAATTCAATTCTTAACTAGTTTTTAGGCTAAACTCAAATACCAAGACAGGCATACAAACGTCTTAGCTCACCCCAACTAAAATTACCACCCTTCATTGAAACTCTTAGAGCATTTATAATCTAATGCATTTTCCTCCTTCCTAGTTATTTTTCCATATTTTCCATATTTTATGTATCTCTATATAAACAGAGGCAGGGGTTTCATTCATCATTGTTTTCCCTAAAATATTTAGCATGGGGCGCCTGGGTGGCTCAGTCGTTAAGCGTCTGCCTTCGGCTCAGGTCATGATCCTAGGGTCCTGGGATCGAGTCCCGCATCGGGCTCCCTGCTCTGCGGGGAGCCTGCTTCTCCCTCTCCCACTCCCCCTGCTTGTGTTCCTGCTCTCGCTACCTCTCTCTCTGTCAAATAAATAAATAAATAAAATCTTTAAAAAATAAATAAATAAAATAAAATAAAATAAAATAAAATATTTAGCATGCAGCACTCAAAACAGGTGACTTGTTAGTCCTATGAAATATACGGTATTACTGAACTTTTTGACAAATGAAGTAAACCACAAAAGCATTACCATAATACAACAGATAAGTCTTTATTTGAAATAGGATTAGAGTTTAGAAGTTCCACCATTTCAAGCTGGTTACTAACCCCTGGGGGCATACTAGTATTTCAAATTTACTGACATGGCATTTCTGAAACAAAAATATTTTAGAAATTCAAATGACTTTGTACCTCATCAGTCTCCATATTCCTCATATTTCACAAAACTATAAAGCAAAATATTCAATGAGTTCCAAATCCAGTAACTAATAACTTCCTCACATTAGTAACATTTTTATTAAATAGAAATAAGAACTCAAAAATAAAAAAAGAAATCATAACTCAAGAACACAAAATAAACACCACTATCCACAGATTTTGTGCAATTCTTTTTCTGTAGTTAATATCTAACCTCTACACTAGATTCATCAACTGTCTACTTCCTTATTTTATAAAACTAGCCTTCTGGGTTTTTTTTTACTCTTTTCCAAAAACTAAACCCTACTTTCTCCAATCATTCTACTGCAAATAAACTGAAATAGGTCTAATGACCTGATTTCTGGGCCAGCCTGATGCTTTTGTTCTGCAGCGTTCTCAAACCAGAGGCTGAATTCAGAGCCCTGAACATCTTGGTCCCCGGTCCCCATACAAATCTCCAGCTGAATTTCTAAACAATCTCATTTTCCAAAAAATATCCAGATTTATGATACAATCTTTCCCCCCACCTTCTTCTCTTCCATACCTCCTTCCTTTTTTCATGTTCAACCATTCCACACATATTTACTGAGCCTGTTTTGAGCCTATTACTCAAGTAGAAATTTTTGATACAAAGGTAAAAAAAAGTTAGTAAGTCTCAAGATACTGAATTACCTCAACTTTTTTTTAATGGGTGATTTGAGGTACTTTAGACCATTTCTGTGTTTTATAAAAGGCTAATTTGTTCATAATTGCTGAAACCTAGAAGTTCATCCTTCAATAGGTAAATGGATATACAAACTGCAGCACATCCATACAATGCAATATTATTCAGCAATAAAAAGAAATATGTTATCAAGCCACAAAAGACATGGAAGAACCTTAAAAGAATCCTGCAAGTGAAACAAGCCAATCTGAAAAGCCTGTGTACTGTATGATTCCAACTATATGACATTCTGGAAAAGGCAGAACGATGGAGACAATTAAAAAAAAAAAAAAAAAACACCAGCCAGGGGTTGCCAGGGCTAGAGGGGGAGAAGGAAGGGCTAAGAAAGTAGTACACAGGGGATTTAAAGGGCAGTGAAATTACTCTGCATGATTCTATAATGGTAAACAGATGTCCTCATGCATCTGTCAAAACCAACAGAAGGTACAACACAAAGAGCAAACCCAATGTAGTCCATGGACTGTCATTAATAATAATACATCCATACTGGCTCATAAATTATAAAATGTACCACACTAATGCAGGATATTAACAATAAGGGAAACTTGGGGCACCTTGGGTGGCTCAGTGGATTAAGCATCTGATTCTTGATTTCAGCTCATGTCTTAATCTCAGGGTCATGAGTTTAAGCCCCGCACTGAGCTCCACCCTGGGCATGGAGCATACTTAAAACAGTAAAATTTAAAAAAAAATTTTGGGGGGGCGCCTGGGTAGCTCAGTCGTTAAGCGTCTGCCTTCGGCTCAGGTCATGATCCCAGGGTCCTGGGATTGAGCCCCACATCAGACTCCCTGCTCGGTGGGAAGCCCTCTCCCACTCCCCCTGCTTGCGCTCCCTCTCTCGCTGTGTCTGTCAAATAAATAAAATCTTAAAAAAAAAAAATAAAAAATAAATTTTTTTTTAAATAAGGTAAACTTGGGGCACCTGGGTGGCTCAGTTGGTTAAGCGTCTGCCTTCGGCTCAGCTCATGATCCCAAGGTCCTGGGATGGAGCCCCACCTCGGGCTCCCTGCTCAGCAGAGAGCCTGCTTCTCCCTCTGCCTCTGCCGCTCCCCCCCTGCTTGTGTGTGTGTGCACTCTCTTTCCTTCTCTCTGTCAAATAAATAAATAAAATCTTTAATGAATAAATAAATAAAATAAAAATAAAGGAAATCTGCTGGGGAAACGTATAAGGGAACTCTCTGTACTTTCCACTTTCCACCAGATGTGAAAAAACAAGGAAGTTCATTTCAGTTTAGGATTCCCCTTAGGCCTTTTATTTATTTATTCATTCATTCTTTTTTTTTTTTAAGATTTTACTTATTTGAGACAGAGAATGAGTGAGCAAGAGAGCAGGAACAGAGGGAGAGAGAGAAGCAGACTCCCCCCTGAGCAGGTAGCCCGATGTGGCGCTCGATCCCGGGACTCCAGAATCACAACCTGAGCCGAAGTCAGATGCTTAACCGACTGAGCCACCCAGGTGCCCCTCCCCTCGGGTCTTTTAATGAAGCCTATATATTGTGTGTTCTTTATTGTGTTTAAAGTTTAAAGGCCTTAAAATCTCCTGATCCTTTTGTCAAGACTTAGATGAGAATATGAAAAAGCTTTTTCACAGACAGACATAGAATAAGTATTCTATGTCTCTTTATGTGTCTCTTCCTCAGTGCTACTCGGCTCAGTCTATCAACCTCAGCACTACCTCATTGTTTCTGGGGCTAAACCATGAGTTATCTGAATTTCATCAAATTCAAGATGTCACTAATTATTAAGACCTGCCATTACTTCATGTATAGCTAAGAAAGAAAAACCTTGCCAATTAACCACCATACCATCAATTAATTGGAAGACATACCCTGATTTCAGAAGATGTTAAGCAGTGAAACTTAAAATTAATGAAATATGATTACCTGAAAAAAGAGATGATTCTTTCTTGACTAACAGAGATATACAAAAGATACCATGCTACAAATATTTGTCTTATTTCTACATTACATAATTTCCCAAAAAAAGAAAATTAGTAATAATTTGAAAATAAAAACCATTTCTAAAATAGGCTATAATAGCAATAAAAATATAACCTAAACAAGGGATGTATTTACACTGAGACCCTCTCTATATGAGAAGATTTCATAGAATGGTAGTGAGGAAATTTTCCCAAATGAAAAATAATAGTCTTAACCATATTAGGGTCCAAAGTATGCAAGACAAAAAATATGATGAATATAGTTCCTGATATCAGTTAAAATCCTTTACTAGACAGTAGTCCTTCCTTACTCATGGGGAATAGTTCCAAGACCCCCAGTGGATGCCTGAAACTGTGGATTTTACCGAACCCTATCTATATGCTTTTCCCTGTATGTACATACCCATGACAAAGTCTAATTTACTAATGAGGCAAAGTAAGAGATTAACAACAATAACAGAGCAACTGTAACAATATACTGTCATAAAAGTTATGTGAATGTGGTCTCTCAAAATATCTTACTATATTATCTTCACCCTTCTTGTGATGATGTGAGATTAAATGCCTATGCGATGGGATGAAATGAGGGGAATGACTTAGGCACTGGGACATGGCGTTAGGCTCCTACTGAGAAGAGAGATGCTGAATCCTCAGAAGGAGAAGCATCTGTTCCCTGACTGAGGCTGATCACAGAAAGTCAGACTGTGGATAATGGGGGCCTACTGTAGACTGCCTTTTGTCATAATAATTTTTCCTACTCTGGGGTACCTGGGTGGCTCAGTCAGTTAAGCATCTGCCTTCAGCTC